CGCGCGCTTAAGCTATTCTAATCGGAATCTATGCCGAGCAAACATGTACGTTCCGTGTTTCGCATGTATCTATTGATCACAGTTGACGTCCACACTCAAATAATATAATATATATATATTATATAATTCACATAATATGGAATAATTGATTGTATTTATATAATTTACATTATATTTCCTTTTCGACAGAGGTGTTGGTGCAATGGAGATTGTTGCCATGGACATGAAATTAAGAGGGATGTACATAGCGAGACAGCTAAGTTTCCACGGTGTAGGGTTTAGAATTGAAGAAGTACCTTTATCGAAAGAGTTCACGAAAACTTATGATATGGCTGTGAAATTATGGGTAGAAGCTATGCAGAAATTCACTGAAGCTGCAGAATTGATTGATGCTGAAAATAGAATGAAGAAAACTATGTGGGGGCAGTTTTGGGTCGTCTCATCAAAGATTCTTTAAATATCTTTGTATAGCAGCAAAGGTAAGCTAATTTTATTTATACTTGGCTATTTAAAAACATTGGAATTTATTAATATGATTGCGATTTCATTACTTTTCAGGTTATCATGCAGTAGTTGTAGCAAGGGAGGCTGTCAAATGTGGTAAATGTGTAGTTATTGGTTTACAATCCACTGGAGAAGCTCGAACATTAGAACAATTAGAACGAGATGATGGAGAGTTGAATGACTTTGTTTCAACAGCTAAAGGTTAAATACATTAATTGAAGAAACTGAATAGCATATGACTTTTCAACATATCGATAACTTTTTTATTTATGTTTAGGTGTCTTACAAAGTTTAGTTGAAAAGCATTTTCCTGCTCCTGACCGAAGTAGAATTCATAGATTATTAGGCATTGAGTTACCTGCCGCTAAAAATCTGGTGCTAGCGTCAGCAAGCCTGCAGATAATGAAATTGCAGGTGGATCAAGTGGGAAGAGGAAGCCAAGTATGTTTATTTAATATTAATTAACAATATACAAAACCATACTTTATCTGCAACTTTTATAATTATTACAGTGAGACAAGCTGCTGCCAGAGCAGCTAAAAGGACAAGAAGATCCTCTTCAGATAGTTCAAATTTTGACTCTGACATAGAACAAATGAGAAGTTCTGAATCCGAATATAAAATGACGGGAAGTGACAGTGCTGAGAGTGATCATCAATATGACAGCAATCAAAGTAGTGACTTCAACCCATTCGAGAGTGATTCTGATAGTGATGCTGATCCATGGGTTAGTGGGCGCAGTAAAAGAAAGGAAGGAAGCTAAAAAGCCAGCTAAGAAAAGACCAACGACGCAGGATAAAATACAAGAACTTTTAACAAGAAAAAATGATGCTGTTAAAAATTCAATATGAAGTTTTCCAATGGCAGCGTGCTGCCCGGAGTTTATGGTCAGCCAACACCACAAGCACCCCCCAAGGATGCTATTGAAAGAGCTTGTACTATGAAGGAGGAATTACTGGCACAGGTGATTTTTGGCTTACAAATAAGCATTTTGTTACCTCTACGTTGTTTCTGAAATAATTATTTTATGTATACGATTTCTAAATGAACATTATACATTTATTGCAAAGACCTATCAGGCCTAATCTGGGATAAACTTTTTAGCTTATTTAGATGACAACTTTAAAGTATTGTATGTACATCAAATGTACCAAAATAGCAAGATGACTGATCTTAAAATGTTCTTGATTCACTTTTCTTTCAGAATTCTTATATTTCAGTAACATATATTAAAAAAAACAGAGCAAGCCTAGAGTAATAATATATATACTAACTTTTTATTTGTATCTTGAGTATCTGAGTATATTATACTGAATATTACAGATTGAGAAACTCGGTGAAAGGCTACCTGCAAATACTTTGGATCAACTTATTGATGAGCTAGGTGGGCCTGAAAATGTGGCTGAGGTAAGTTTCTTTTATATCATCAATGATTAAATTATTATGATCAGTTATTAATTTCCCAAAGGAGAAGTTTCTTTTCTCCAGAAAATCCGATTTGCTTATTTTATGTATTCTCGGCGTTTCTATAATTAAGAATTATTAGAATTAAGAAAATCCGATTTGCTTATTTTTCGTATTCTCGGCGATTCTATGGTTACTTAATTTTTATAATCAAATCACTTTTGTAGGACCAGATACTATAATACATACTTTTATTAAAATCGTGAAAAAAAGTCTTTTACAAATCAACCGATCTTTGTCGAAAACTAATCAGCTTAATTCCCAACCAATATCTTTTAAGTAGTTTTGAATTTTCAAAATTGATTTAGTATTTTTGGCTAAAACATGGATAAAAAACTATGTGTTTGTTTGCTAATTCTAAAGAAATGGCTCAGCCCATCAAATCACATTGAATGGTTTTCACATTTTTAAAGTCAGTTTAGCCGTTGTTGAGAAAACGTTGACAAAAGATAAAAAATTGGCTCACACACACACGTACTTTTTTCAAATTTGTTCTCATTCTTTTCAGAATGGCTTGAAACGTCGAGAAAATATAAAATTAGCAAATCGGATTTTTCGGGAAAACTTATTATTAACATTCTTATTATTCACGCTGCTTTTATTATCTACACAAATAAAGTTCATTCAAATTCCTTCAATGCAACTTTCCACTTACATTTATTTTAATTTTTTGTTGTTTTTAGATGACTGGTCGCAAAGGTCGAGTCGTTCAAACAGAAGATGGTCAAATTCTTTATGAATCTCGGTCTGAAGTGGACGTACCTTTAGAGACTTTAAATTTAACAGAAAAACAACGATTTATGGATGGCGAAAAGGATGTGGCTATTATTTCAGAAGCAGCATCCAGTGGTATCTCGTTGCAGAGCGATCGACGTGTTAGAAATCAACGAAGGCGGGTACACATTACTTTGGAACTGCCTTGGTCGGCCGATAGGGCTATACAACAGTTTGGACGAACACACAGATCCAACCAGGTTAACGCGCCTGAATACATATTTTTAATTTCCGATTTGGCAGGAGAGAGACGTTTTGCTTCTACGGTAGCTAAAGATTAGAATCTTTAGGAGCGTTGACACATGGCGACAGACGCGCCACCGAATCAAGAGATTTGTCACAATTTAATATTGATAATAAGTATGGCAGGAGCGCTTTGGAAGCTACAATGAAAACGATAATGAAATATGAAGCACCTTTAGTGCCGCCTCCTCAAGATTACAAAGGAGACTTCTTCAAAGACGTTGCCGATGCTTTGGTGGGAGTTGGACTTATTGTCAATAGCGAAGCTATGCCAGGCGTGCTGTCCTTAGACAAAGATTACAATAATATATCCAAGTTTTTGAATAGAATTTTAGGTATGCCTGTTGAATTGCAGAATAGATTATTTAAATATTTTACGGACACACTAACAGCGATCATAACACAAGCAAAGAAGTTAGGACGATTTGATCTGGGAATTCTAGGTATGGACTACTATTAAGCATTAAAATTGTATCATGTCTTTTGTATTAATGAAATCTAATTGTTTTGTTTAGATTTGGGTACTGCTGGTGAAAATGTAAAAAGAATTAAGCTGTGGAGATTCCAAAGAAAACATGCTACTGGTATTGCACCTACTGAGCTACATGTTGTACATGTGGAACGAGGGATGGCTTGGCAAGAGGCTATTGATAAGTAAGTTTTTATAATATTTATATAAACTTTTTTAACACGTTCGCGCCGGCATGGGCCACCGGTATACCACGGTAGATTGTCACATCGGGCGCGATACTCGTGTGTGTGGATATATATATATATATATATATATATACATATATATATGTTACGGTAAATGTGCATATTTCGGTGAATGTGCACATTCACCGGTGAATGCGCACATTCACCGGCTCATTTGGCGAATGTGAGTTCAACTCGCGCATGTGCGGGTGAAATACTAATTCATATATTTATATTTATATTTATATTATTTATTTTAGTCATATGCATATTAATATCCATTATTTATTATTCACTATTAATTATTAACTATTTATCAATTAATAATTTATCTATTAAACTATGAACTATTAACTATTAACTAATTAATTAATAACTATTAACTATTTAACCATTAACTATTACCTATTTAACTGTTCTTAATTCACTATTTACTACTAACTATTCACTATTTGCTATTATCTATACACTATTTACTATTAACTATTCGGTTATCACTATTCACTATTTACTATTTTACTATTGAATTATTTACTATTAACTATTCATTATTCTTTATTTACTATTAACTATTCAGTTATCACTATTCACTATTTACTATTAACTATTCAGTTATCACTATTCACTATTCACTACTTTACTATGCAACTATTTACCTTGTAACTATTAACTATTCACTATTTAACTATCCACAATTCAACTATTCCTAATGCACTATTTACTTATAACTATTCACTATTTACTATTTGACTATTTAGTTATCACTATTCACTATTTACTATTAACTATTCACTATTTACAAATCACTATTAACTATTTAACTATTTACTATTTAACTAATCACTTTTTAACTATTAACTAGTTACTTAAACTATTAACTATTTACCTATAACTATTAAACTATAAACTATTCACTATTTAACTATTTACTATTCACCATTTAACTATTCTAAATTCACTATTTACTATTTTACTAACAATTACCTATTAATTATTTACTATTTAATATTAATTATTCACTATACACTATATTAAAACGTTACTATTCAACTATTTACTATTAACTATTTAGTGCGCATGCGCTAAATACGCAAGATGTTCATGAGACCGATCCAAGTACGCACGTACACCATTATTTTAAATTGATTGTTTGAGAACTCCACATTCACCTAGCGTTCTGGGGAATGTGCACATTCACCAAGAGTGCACATTTACTGTAACATATATATATATATATATATATATATATATATATATATATTTTATTTTTTTCGGCGATTTTTTAAAACCAGCCATTTATTGTTCCTTGTTTTTATTTTTAGGTGGTCTGATTTGACAGGGCCGAAAGAAGGTTTCTATCTATCACATCAAATAAGAAATGGTAAACAAACTGCAATTCTTGCCGTAGCTGTGGATAACAATTCCAAGAAAAAAACTGATCTCGTCAAGTCCAAAAAGGATCAATTATATCAAGTGTATAGACCGAATACTGGCTTGCAGTTCAGGAATGAGACGCTAGGCGAATTGGAGAAGAAATATAAAAAGGTAATAATAAAATTATTAGTCCTTGTTGAGCATTATCTTCATATCAAGAGTTTTTTTATCCCAGGTATCAACAGATGATGCCCAGCCCCACTGGACAGAACAGTATGAATCTTCAGTGACAACATGTTCTCATGCATACTGGAGAGGCAATTGTCGAAATGTCACACTGGGCCATGATTGCGAAGTCGGTCTACGAAGGCGTTCCTATAATGTGTTAGCTGGAAGTGTACTTAGTGTTTGGGCTCGTGTTGAGAATGTGTTGCAATCGAAGAGCGCTCACAATAACAAAATGCAAGTCATACGTTTGAAGACAACGGAAGGTGTTAAAATTGTCGGTAAGTGTCATTGAAAATATTTGAAAACAGTGGTACCCTGGTAAAAAGTTTTTTTTAATTTTTTTTAAATTGTTTATTTGTTAACCTTGTATACACGTTCATAAGTCATATACATTTTATAAGTTATCTTTACACTTTTATGTTATTTGATTGTATATAATTATATATCCATATTTTTGCGCGCCTTATATCCATTTCTTTGTCAATAATGTTATAAAATTGGTTGGGAGGGAGATTTTTTGCCTTACTATCTTCCTCCATAGTTCTTTTCTACCCTTTTCCCATTTTTTCACTCCATAATGGTGTCCACGGCATCCGCCATAGTCGCTCCACCCAAGCGACCCAAGGTAAAACGTCCAAAACAGCAATATTTCTACTGTTATTAAATTTAAAATATGATAGTTTATCCAGGAAAATAATAAAATATTGTAATTATTGTAAAATAATATTTTATAATTGTTGAGTTTTTTTATTTTTCAAGATTAAATAACAATCTGTTTTTTAATAGCATTCAATAATTATTATGATCTAGTATAATATGTATAAAGTTAGAATATAAATTAAGATTAATCAGTGGTAAACTGTATTTTGTTGATTAATAGTATTGTATAAAATATTTTGGCGCCGATGTCACTTACAAAAAGCTACATCTTTACATAAGTGGAAATAAACATCAATATTTATTAGTCCGATACTATTCATTAATTAACAGAATTAATATGAAGTTCTTTGGAAACCAATAAATATTCATTTCAATGGATGGCTGGTTGAGATAATATTTGGCACTTGTTTATACAATAGAACTATTCAAAAAGACTTTTGTTTTAATTATGAGATTATAAGATTTAAAGTTTAAATGGTTCTGAGAACCTCAAATCAAAGTGATTATGTTTCTATACCGATATTTTAAAGGTAAATACCAGTATTAACATCGTCCAAAATTTAGAGGATATACCGTTTTTTTGGTACACCGGTGTTGCATTCTCTAGATCCTAATATTTCCGTCCTCTTATTTTTAACATTTTTCAAGAATTTTCTCTCAAAGCACGTATCTCGAGTTTTGCTCGTATGTCGTAGCAACGAATCGCTTTTTTGGCAGCCCCTATCTTGTATGTCAGGGCGGGGTACTACTGTAATTTAAAAACTTATAGTCTTATAGAAACAAAAATCAAAATATTTTTTCCTAGGTACTCTTATACCCAAAATCTGTGTCGAGCCCTTAAAGCAAGCGTTGTCTTCAGATGCCGAAAAGGTTGAAGAAGAAAACTTTTAATTATAAGAATATCTTAGCCCAAGTACAGCAATCATACTCGCTTTACAGAAACATCATTAATATAATTATCTATATAATAATGTCATACATAATTTAAGAGCAAATGTGTGAAAACTACAAAATGATGAAAGCCAAGAAAAGATGTGCGAATGTGTTGCTGTGTGTCTTTAGGTGTGACGTGTGAGATTGTTTGTGAGAACATTTATATCAATTATTTTACATTAAATGTAATAAGTGATTTTAATTTACTATTTATAATATGTTATATCATAGTTCTTATGTATATTTTATGTGTAAGGTTTGATGATTAGATATCGATATTGGATGTAAAATGTCACCTAGCTTTTATCGCGCAATATGTGTATATTAGTTTTTTAACTCGAGTAATTTTTATGAGTGCTGCTGCATTGCTAGGTGATGAATTCTTTTGTATCTATTTTGTAACTTAAATGATTTACGTTTAAGGGGATGATATAGTTTTATTTATGTTTGGTTGAGTTGTTGACATTGTTGGGAAACATTTTTGAGGCACAATCCTTTAATCATAACTTACCCAGTTTTTATCATTTAACGGCGTGGACCATAATCGTTTATAAATATACAATTAATTTAGGAAATTAAACTTTATTAGAAAGATTCTCTAACCAATTCACACATCCACTGAAAAGAGAACGAACCTCAAGTTCAATCATCTGGGATTTTGACATTGTACAGAGTTGATAGTAGAAACAAGCTCTTTAAAATATTAGAGGTCTATGAAAATTATTTTAATTATAAAGATTAATTAAAGTTTTCATAGCCTATAATATTTTGAGGAGTTTGTTTTTACGTTTTTTAAAATACGTTTTTGTTGGTTAGAAAAAAACTTTGCAATTGTCTAAGTCATTAATGAAGTTTCGATCAATTTAATAAAAAGTAGTAAAGTGGTAACAATGAAAAATGTTTGCGCCTTAAAAATGTATTTAGTACTTTATTCAAATATTACATAAGCAATTATTTAAGCAACACAAGTAAAAATCAAATAAATTTGATTTTTATAGCATATAAAATTCAATTTCTGTTTGTATATTTATTGTATTGAAATGTTGGATTATGAACTCGACATGAAATTGAAAATCAATTAAAATATGAAGTATATGCCTAATTAACAAATTATGAATTTATTTTTACCTGTATATACAGATGTAGGTATAAAAATTATGTTTAAAATTTAATGGAAGGTGTAATAAAAAAAAATATATATAAGCATTTTTGAGTTAACTTTGAATACTGAAATTTTATAAGGGGAAATGAGTTATAAATGGATAGTGTAAATATAGATACTTATTTTAACTTTCAATAGCTTTCATTAACATTTTATTGCAAATTAAGAGAAAAACATGAATATAGGTGATTTAATAATAAATCACAATAATTAACAACACTAAAAAAATGTTTTTTTTATTTACATATTCATCTTTTTTTTTATTAACTTTGCCTTTAACTTTTGAATGAAAACTATTCCGAGTTAAAACAATTACAATAGTTTACACCGCTCTTTTGGAATTGTTTTAGAATTCCAAAGTATGTCAGGTTTTTTTTTTAAGTTTTTTACTTTTTAAAAAATTTAGAAATTGGTAGTGTAAATTATTGTAATTTTAAGTATTGTAATGAAAAATTTAATTATGTACTTAATAACATTGTATTATTGATTTTTAAATCACATATTTAAATCACTCATCTTCGATTATTATATTTTTTAATTTTGCAATAGATTGTCAATGAAAACTCTCACTAAGTGGGAAGATTAATTTAGTTTTAAATTGAAGTTTTATGTATTTAAAATATTGAATGATTGAATTTTTAAATGCATATTTAAATCACTCATCTTCAATTATTTTTATTATTTTTTTAGTTGTGCAACAAATTATCAATGAAAATTATCGAGAGTTAAAAGAAACAAAATGAATTATTTTAAAGTTTTTTGCCTGTTGTAAATATTTTTTTTGTAATACGTTTTCTGAAAACAATGAAATATTATAAGAGGTGAAAAGTTATAAATGGGTAGTGCAATTTTTTTTTTTTTAACTCTCAATAGCTTTTTCATTGACAAATATATTGCAAAATTAAAAAAAAAATGAATTTGGTGAATTAATTTGGTTTTAAATTTTTTTTAAGTATTTTTTTTTTTATTATTACATAATTAAATCACACATTGTTCAATCAAATTATTGGTTTTAAAATATGATATATAAATGAGTATACATTTTATTCTAAACTTATTTGAAACAAAAAAATAAAATATTTTTAACGCGTTAATCGCCACATCAGTTAAAAAAACAAAACTGTTTCTTTGATGCATTATATATCCTTGATACATTTTTTTTTTTACAAATTTTTTCTGATATTATTGTGGTGATTAACGTGTTAATATTGTAATAAGAAGTAACTTGAAGAAAAAGTTTAAGAAAACTGTGGAGGCTGTCATAGTAAAACATGATATACATTTCAGCTTTTTTATAATTTAATTGACGAAGACATTGACAATTATTGCTTTATTCTTATACATACAAGAATATGTTATTTTAAATATTATAATTAACTCAGAAGTGCTTATAATAAAGTGTTTAATCCTCCATTTTATTAATCAGTAGCTTAAGTTTATGTTATATGTATTAATTTTGTTTATTATTCAAATTTGAATCAATGATGAAATTTAAATTTTTGATAAAAGTTGCTGAAATCATCATCTATTATATTGTTGTAAATTGTCATTTATTGATGCTTATGTAAAATTTGAATTAATTCAAATTATGAATTTAGTATGAATTATTTATACAAAATGGTATTGTTTTGTAAAATTTGAATTATCTCCAAATTATGAATTAAGTATAAATGATTTATACAAAATAGTATTGTTTTTCAAAGTACTCATTTTTATTATTTTAAATATTATTGTAATTGTGTGCATTGAATTTTTGTATTAAAAAAATCATTTTTGCACTTGAGTGAACCACATGATAAAAATTTAATCAATTTGTGCCACGCGAGCACATTAAATATGCAAAAAATATATTTATGTACATCTTATATTCGTGGATAATTAGAATGGTAAATAAATAATCAGCTAAGACCAGATATTAACAGACTCAAAATTATGAATTACTAAAATTAATTAATTGTTTGGAAATAAGGCAGGAATTAATTATTAAAGTTTTGATAGAATGAAATCAGTCTGTAAGTCGCTGGCCTTTAATTCAATACTCTATGATTGTTTTTCTGTAACTTCGGAGAATGATTATTATGAAGTATTGAAGTGATACACAGAATATGATCTTTGATTTTAAGAGACATAGAATAATCATACATGTGTAAACCTTAATATAATTTAGTTAAAATAAATAAAATGATGAATTCAACACACAATTTATTGTAATTAATGTAATTAACTTCCAGAAGGAGAAGTTTATTTTTGCGCCAAAAAATCTCATTCGCTAATTGTGTTTTCTCGACGTTTTAAGTCATTCTGAATCGAATAAGACTAAATTTGGAAAAATTATGTGTAAGAGACGATTTTTGACCTTTCGTCGATGTTTCGCAAAAACGCCTGGATCGATTTGAAGAATTTAAAAGCCATTTAATGTAGCTTAATGAGGACTAGGTTAGTTTTGAGCGACGATCGACCAAGCCGTTTTTTATTAATTAGGAGAAAAGTGTAATTTTTAAAATTGATTGAAAGTTTTTTTTTTGACGATCTTGATAAAACTTTATATAGCGATAGAGTTTGTAGTCTAAATTAACACACTAAAATATTAAAGGCTTATGATATGCGGTTGGATTATAAAAATTGATCAAAAGTTTATAATTTCGCCGAGCGATTTCAAGCGATTCTAATCAGAATTTGTGCGTTTTTTGGTGTTATGTCGGTAGCTACTGATTACAGTTGACGTTCACAATTAAATGAAATTTTTTTTAAAAAAATTTACTTTATAAAATTGCAGATATTTTAGGTTTGTTTGAAAGACATCAATTGGAAATTACATTAATTATTTTTCAGTAAAAGTTTATTTTATTTTCAAAATAAACAGTTGAAACAGATTTTACCCAAATTTCAATTCTTATAGATTTAAGTTGATTGTGTCTACGTATTAGGAAGTTCATGCAACTTGGCTTAAGACAAAATGCTACTTATTAGTTGAATTTGTATTTAAAATACTTAATACAAACATATAATACATTATTTATTAAATATAAAAATAGTATCCTGATCAGTGCCATAAGACATACGAGCTTCATCCATGTACTGAAACGACATCACACACACTCTGTCTTTATATGTGGGGTTCCTATACATATAACTTTTTGTTTCTAAATTAAATCCACACAAAACAATATAGTGTCCACTATATGTTTTAGTCCACGGTAAACAGGATCTGTAAAACACAAAATTTTATATTTTTGAGTAAATCGATCTTCGTGTGGCAATTCGAATACCTCAGATCTGACTTATTCCTTTTGCAAATGTCGCAATGCAATAAATTAGCATTTATTAATAATATCACAGTTCCAAATTTGTACAAGTGTTTTAGCAAATCAATTGTTGATACATTTTTTACTTTTATTTTAATACCTAGCGAGGCTGCTGAATTGAAACGTTGCAAAACTCTTGATTCATCCTAAATAGAAGAAAATAGTTATACAAAAATTACCTAATAAAATACAAATTTTGCATGGTACCTTGGTAATAATTTTTTCATAAAATAATTCATCTTGATACCCTGGATTGACCCCAAAAGTTATAGTAAAGTATGTATGCTTAATTTTAAATCTTTTAAGCAAATAACATAAATCTATAGTCCAAGTGCTATAAAAGGTACATAAGTTTATTATAAATAAATAAAAAAGTATATGTATACATTTAGGCAAACCTTTTGCTAAATCCTTCATCATTACAAATTGTATAAAACTTTTGTAAAAAATACTCTTTACTATCAAAAGGTAGTATCATTAATATACAAGATATACCGCAGTCCCAAGTATATCTTTGTTTAAAATGAACAAGTTTTTGTTCACAAATAAGAGGTAAGTTGGAATCTATAATATTTGTTTAAATTAATAATAATTTTAATATAATATGTAAAATTATTATACCATCTAATTTGTCATCAAGGATGTTATCCATTGTTAAAATTTTAAAAATAACCTATATAGGTAATAAAATAATAAAATATCTTAGGACAATATCCATTTCACATTTATTGAATAAATAAAATACAAAAATATGTTATAAAGTTGAAATAAAATATTTGAAAGTCCTAAATAGACCCTTAGATAAAATCACAGTTTTAATAAAAACATTATTTAAAATTTATTATTGTTTAATATAATTTACTAATTAAAATTATTTATATATATAAAGCTGAAAATAATTTAATTTATATTTAATAAAATATTTTGTTAAAATTGTGTTTTATTAAACGAATGTTGACATATGCAAGTGTTGCCAATGAGGAAAAGAAGTTATTTCGTTAGTTTTCAAAATGGAGACTTTTTGTGTCAAATAATGTTTAGTGAAACAATAAAGTGTAGTTATCTTTTGAATTTAGTGAAAAAATGTTTTTGGAACTAAAAATATTGTACCTTCCATATACATTTATATATATATATATATATATATATATCTATATATAATTCATGTGATTGCAATATAAGCTCAAGTAAGAAGAAATTTAAACAGGATGATGCATACACTCCATTTTAAGTGCCTTAAGGTAAGTTGCATAAGTTTATATGTAAATTA